GGACTTCAGTTTTAGTCATCCAGATCTATCTATCTATCTATCTATCTATATATATATATAGATATAGATATAGATATAGATATATAGATAGATAGAGATATAGATATAGATTTCTGGACTGGCTCAAACATATTGATATTAATTTACTAGTTTATATAGTTTTCAGGGAGAAGTGAAATATATGTAGCCTGATTTTCATAAATCCCTTATCTTCAAAATGCCAGGTTGTCTTGTGATATCATTCCTCTGATGTGCTAAGAAAAAATATTTTTCATTAATTTACATTTTTTAAGTTTCATTTGTAGGTGAATTTTTTGGGGGAAATTCTCTACCCCTACAAAATTAACTCAGAAACTGACCAATATTTTTAAGTATACATTTTCCTCCACTATACTGTGGAAGTTATTTTAGGTCCTAATTAGTGCCATTCTCCCTAAACTATTTTCTATTAAGTATTTTCCATGTTTGTATCCTATTTTTTCTCCATTTTGAAACATGATTTGTTTCTTTGTTAATATAATTTACTACATCTCACAGGAAGCCAGATTCACCCTTTAAATTTATTTCCCTAATTAAATAGTTACTTACTAAGAACAGCTACTTTGATGTAGCTTTGAATCACTGTGAGCAAAGAACCTGAGAAGAACAACTTGGAGGAAGGAATATTTTATTTTGGCTCATCATGGTTTTTGTCCAAGTGTTGAAAATAAAATTCAAATAAGCTCATTCATGTTGATTTCATGTCAGAGACAGAGTGTGAGACAGAGAAACAGACAGAGAAAGTGAGAGAGACAGAGAGACAGACAGAGTGACAGACATACAGAGAAAGTGAGAGATACAGAGACAAAGAGAGTGAGAGACAGAGAGAGACAGATTGAGAGACAGAGGGTGAGAGAGACAGAGAGTGAGAGAGAAAGAGAGACAAAGAGAGTGTGAGAGAGACAGAGTATGATAGAGACAGAGAGCAGAGTGTGAGAGAGACAGAGGGACAGAGAGAGTGTGAGAGAGATTGTGGGAGAGACAGAGTGTGAGAAAGAGAGACAGAGTGTGAGACAGAGCGACAGAGAGTGACAGAAAGGTAGAGAGAGTGTGAGAGAGAGACAGAGAGTGTGAGAGAGAGAGTGTGAGACAGAGTGTGAGACAGAGTGTGAGAGAGACAGAGAGACAGAGGGTGTGTATGAGAGAGTGTGAGAGAGACAGAGTGTAAGACAGAGAGACAGAGAGTGACAGAGAGATAGAGAGAGTGTATGAGAGAGAGACAGAGAGTGTGAGAGAGACAGAGTGTGAGAGAGAGTGAGAGAGAGAGACAGAGTGTGAGACAGAGTGTGAGAGAGACAGAGAGACAGAGAGTGTGTGAGAGAGACATAGTGTGACAGAGAGACAGAGAGAGTGTGAGACAGAGGGACAGAGAGAGTGTGACACAGAGATACAGAGAGATAGAGAGAGTGTGAGAGAGAGTGTGTGAGAGTGTGAGAGAGAGACAGAGTGTTGTGAGAGAGAGACAGAGAGTGTGTGTG